GGAGGCCTCGAACAAGAGTTAGATGAGACAAGATTCATCAACACGTTGAGAGATTTTCAGCTAGCTCCCGGCCTATAATCGTTAAATCTTAAGCGAACATAAGAGATATGTATAAATCTATACGGGATTTACACTCCCACCTATGATTGCTAGCTACAACTTGACAGCAAGTCGAAACAGGAATAACTTTGTAAACACATTTGCAGCGTCCGATGAAACGTCGTGGTTTTCGAGAATCAACAATCATAACTCGATTATAGGAACTCATCATAACTTTGTTAAAACTAAAACTAACTATCCTATACTCCTACTAGGAAACAACCTAAGAAAGTATTGATAGTACTCACAAATTCAATGAAGTGACTTTAGGATAAATGAGATAACTAAACTAATCACACCATGTTTTATAACAATAAAACCTATGGTCTCACCAACATTATGTCGAACTTTCAAAAACCACATGTATTCTTAGGAGAATGAACCCTACTGAAGGAGGAGGTAACCCCCGGTGATGAAGCTCAGAGTCTATGTGCCTTACCTTTATACTTTGCTTTTGTGACCTATTTGTACCTCAAACAACTTTGTAATATATTTTATTTAATGAATAAATAGCAACGTTGTTTAATATATCAGTGTATTAATCATTGTATGTCTTTGACCCGAAATCCAACATTCTAACATTGCACAACCCAACGTTTCCGTCACCGTCGGGAGTGTTCAACTTCTGATAAAAATAGTAATTTTTCTTCATCTATGTTGGTTGGTGGTGAATCTTTAATACATGTAACTAATATGGGACACACCACTCTTCTGCTCTCTAATCCTTATCGTGCTTTGACTCTTAGAAATGTTTTAATTACTCCATCCATTACTAAAAATCTGATATATGTTCGTCGTTTTGTTCGTGAAAAGAATTATTTTATTAAATTTGACACATTTGGATTTTTTGTGAAGGATTTCTGCACCAAAAATGTCCTCCTCCAATGTGACAACACCTGTGATCTTTATCTTGTTATGACACCAACTGCTCAAGCTTTCATCTCTATTACTCCTTCCATTTGGCATCAACGTCTTGGTCATCTCGGTCATCATATTTTCAAGCATCTAGTTAAAAATCATTCTATTTCTTATTCTTTAAGTAAAGACCTTTCTTTATGTCATGCATGTCAAATGGGAAAACATGTTAAGTTGCCTTTTAGCTCTTCTACGTCTGTTATGCATTTTCCTTTTAAGTTAATACATTCCGATGTTTAAACATCTCCTATTGAAAGTTTGAGTGGAATTAAATACTATGTCATATATTTAGATGATTACTCTCACTTTATATGGGTTTATCCCATCGTGTCAAATATGTTGCGTTTGACAAATTTACACATTTTCGGTCCTTTGTCAATAAACAATTTCAAACTGATATCAAGTCATTTCAATGTGACAATAGAGGTGAATATAAAAACAATAAATTTCATCACATTTTTGCCCAAAATGGTATCCAAATCCTTTTTTCATGTCCCTACACATTCCAACAAAATGGTAAATTTGAATGTGTGCTTCGTACTCTAAATAATGCCATTCGTACTCTATTGTTTCAAGCTCGACTTCCTCCTACATATTGGACCAAAGCTCTTCACATGGCAACTCATCTTCTAAACAATCTTCCATCCGCCACCGTTGATAATGACACACCGTACCATAAACTTTACAACAAATCTCCTTCCTATGATAATCTTCGTGTTTTCGGTTGCCTTTGTTTCCCTCACATCGATGCTCCTCACAAACTCTCTCCTCGATCGACTCCTTGCATCTTCCTTGGTTACCCTACTAATCACAACGGCTATTGTTTCCTTAATCTTGACACAAATAAAATCATCATTTCTCATAATGTCATTTTTTATGAAATTGTCTTTCCTTTTGGCTCAATGACACCAAATAGAGCACCATCATATTCGTTCCTTGATGATTCCCACACTTCCAATCCTCTTGCTTCTACACTGGCTCCGTCATATCCATTAATGGATCGGGTTCCTCTTCCAAATTCATCACCTACATCTACTCCCATGTTTGATCGCAAATCCAGCCCACCTCAATCCCCTGCTGGCAGCTCCCATCAATCCTCACCAATCCATTCATCAAATATTCTCTCTCCTCAGACCAGCCCCATCAAGGCCCAAATCCTTTCTTGATAAGCCCTCAACATCCGAATTCATCTCCTATGTCCACCAACACCTCCTCAGCTTCTTCCCTCTCTGATCACTCTCCTCTTAGTCCTCCCAATGTGTCACTCAATCTCATCACCCAATGCTTACTTGTGGAAAACAAGGCATTTTTTTAACCCATTCGTAAATTAAATTTGCATGTTGAAACGACATCTCCCATTCCTAAAAATTATTTACAGGCTTTTAAAGATTCTAATTGGCTTAATGCAATGAAAGAAGAATATATTACTCTTATCAATAACAAAACTTGAGTTCTTGTTCCAAGACCACACGCTGCTAATGTTATTAACTGTATTTGGTTGTTCAAAAAGAAACATAATGCAAATGGATCTTTGTCTAGATTTAAAGCCCGTCTTGTTGCTAATGGTTTCAGTCAAAGACCCGATATTGACTGTGATGAGATATTTAGTCCAGTGGTTAAGCCCGCCACTATTCACATGGTTCTTAGTATTGCGGTCACTAACAAATGGCCCATTCGCCAGCTTGATGTGAAGAATGCGTTTCTTCATGTCCATTTATAGGAGACAATCTATATGTATCAACCACCAGGTGTTAGGGATCCTTCGAGACCAAATTATGTGTGCTTACTTCAGAGATCTTTGTATAGTCTCAAATAGGTACCTCGTGCATGGTTTTAGCATTTTTCCATGTTTATCTCTCACATTGGTTTTACTCATAATAACTGTAACTCTTCTTTGTTTATCTATCAGTAGGGGACTCACGTGGCCTATTTACTATTATATATGGATGATATTGTTCTTATAGGCTCTTCCACACAGTTGCTGACTCACATTATCTCTTTATTGGGTGCTGAGTTTTCTATGTTAGATCTGGGCGATCTTTACTATTTTCTGGGTATTTCAGCTACCAGATCGGCTGATGGCTTATTCTTATTGCAACATAAATTTTCCACTTAGATACTTGAGCATGCTTCTATAACTAATTGTAAACCAGTTTCTACTCCTGTTGATTTATCTGTGAAGTTTGATGGGTCTGGTCCTCCGGTTGTTGAACCTACTTTATATCGTAGCTTGGATGGTACCTTATAGTATTTCACATTCACTCGCCCCAACATTACTTATGTTGTGCATCAAGTTTGTTTATACATACATGACCGGTGTAGCCTCATTTTAATGCACTTAAACGCATCTTGCGCTATGTTCGAGGTACTACTTCTCATGGACTACAGTTTTGTACATCTCCCATTCGTACTCTCATTGCTTCATCTAATGCGGACCGGGCTGAATGTCATGTTACTCGTCATTCTACATCGGGTTATTGTGTATTTTAGATCACAATCTTCTTTCTTGGTCCTCCAAACGCCAGAACACGATATTGCGATCGAGTACTGAAGCTGAATACAGAGGTGTTGCTAATACATTGGCTGAAATGTGTTGGATTCGTAACTTACTTATTGAGCTTCACTACACGCCTGGTAAGGCTACTATTGTTTATTGTGATAATGTGAGTGTTGTTTACATATCTTCCAATCCAGTTCATCACCAACACATGAATCATATAGAGATTGATCTGCATTTTGTTCGAGACAAAGTTGCTACTGGTCAGGTTCAAGTTCTTCATGTTTCATCTTCCTCTTAGCATGCAGATATATTTACTAAGAGTCTTTCATCACCTCTGTTTCTTGACTTTCAGTCCAGCTTGAATCGTTCAAGACTTGTCCGCCGTTCAATCTGCAGGGGGCTGTTAGCATATTATTTAGTATTGTATTTGTAATAGTTGATATACGCACATGCCCATATGTTTAGGCCTTTTCTAATTATTCTCTTACTATTGTGTATATATTGAGGGTACCTTATACAATATGTTTTTTTATGGGAATAATAGTCGAAAGTCTCTAATCTTTATTGCTTTAGTTATTATTGTCCATTCTTGTTAAATATTAGTGATTACCTTTACTTGGAGTTGTGAATATGTAATTTATATATCAAATCAATTGAAGAATTCGTATTGATTGGTATAATTTCACTTTGACCTCGTTTTACCAATCTTTAGCAACCTTTGTTATTGACAAAGTGTTTGCTGTTGTTCGCTCATTAGTTTTATGGACATATATTTTTAGAATCAGCAGAGATATATATGAGCCCACTAACATGCAGAAATATTAATCTCTCGAGTCTCTGTTTTGGTAGTTAGGTATATGACTTTCTTTCATTTTCGGGTTGCCTTTAACTTTTCTTGTATTATTTTCACCTTTTCTTGAATGTCTATGCTGACAGACTGGACTTTCACTTGACATTTTTTAGTATGCTGAATGCAACATCTTACTGTCTTCTGCTGGGCTCGATAATTAATATAGATCTAATATGCTTGATCTGGTTAGCACCCGTTAAAAAAATAAAGCACATTAATTAATAGAGTTACACATTACTATCCTTTCCCCGCTTTTGACCGTTAAGAGTCAAACGGATTACGTTTTAACTTCAGCATCAGTAACCATTTAGGTTTATAGGTACATATTTGATATAAAAACCAAAAACACATGGAGATGAGGAAGAGATACATGTATAGTTGCATACACTAATAAAGTATATTTTATTTTCTGATAACATGTCATAAATGATAAAGGTAAAAGATAGTATAGCAAAGGAAACCCCGACTCAAGCCTGACTTCCATATATGGATCACCATGAATTAATCTACTACGTGAGATGATTATGAATAGAAATATAAGAATATACCAACATGAGCTGTATATGTATAGACTAAATACTCGTCACCTGTCCTGTAATTAATGCCCATACTAAAGTGATAATTACTATTACAGCTTCACATCAAGATCGCATAACGCATGCTGTCATTAACCATAAGATGGTTCACGTCTGATATCCGTCTGAGCTCACCGGAAACCCAAACCCCCTCGGTGGTATGTGGGTGAGAAGATAGACATGATACAAGTGTCAGTGGAGCTTTAACTATGCTATGTATCAGAGAAAGACCACTTCGCCCTTGCCTTGTATGGTGAGCCATATTAACTGGAAACTCATGAGTTCCATTTCCTTCTCCAAGCATGTTTTCATCTGCCACTTTAGGACTCTTTTTCATATTTTCAATGTTTCGCCTCACAGCTGCCAGTATCCGCCTCATAACTCAGGGATGAAGAGAGTTTTCTTTGATGAAAATGGCAACTGTACTACGACTGCTTTTAGGTTATGTAGGAATGAAGCTAAAGAGAAAAGGCTTAGAAGGACTCCTTTCTATAATGGTATTTTGATAGTGTCGTTAGTGGTAGTACTTATCACAAAAATGTTTATGGTGGGGCTTTTTGTAAGAGCATCCGCAGGGGTATGGTATGGCAGTGCGTGTGAGGGTTAGGAACCCGCGGTTAATGCATGAAGTTAGGTACACGACAAAAATTAGATAAAAACACTAAAATTTCCTCATCATTCAACGAAATAAATAGAAAGAAATTGAAATGAATTTTATTTCTTTAGGATCCTTGACTATATTTTGATTCTCTTTGGACAGCTGAATCTTATCAAACCATCTAAATTCTCATTTATCTAAAAATCTTGGTGTTGGATATTACTATTTAAAGAATGAATGTTTAGTTTATTATAAACATGCCAAAAATCATGACAAATTGGATTGGAAGAATATCTACATATATATAGAATCAATACTTTTGATAGAAGTGTGGCAGAACCATGTCGCTAGTACCATAGGAATTGCTGCACTTTGTTCATATTTTGATTCTTACTCGTATTAAAGGTATGCACTTTAAGAGGAATGGAGAAATTCCCCACATATTTTTGTAAGATTTTTTGTGACTTTTATGAGCACCTTATCTTGCTATTTTGATACTGTCTTGTAAAAGTGTACCAGTCGATCTTGGCCCATTGTGTCTTAAATTCTATTTCCTAATCGTTTTCCAATTCTTTAATTAATTTATACATAAATATATGTCGGCATCGTGGTTTAAACCAAATGATGCTGGTTACCAGATTAGTGAAGTTGTTTTATTTGGCCCTCTTTCCTGATATGGTAAGTTCTATGGGTGTAACTAATACTCAGAATTTTATTAGAGGACAGAAGGGTGAAAGAAATTGGTCTATTAGAAAAAAAAAACTAATAGTACGTTTTTCGTCTATAGTCAACCACTTAATTGTGACTAGAGGGAATCCCATTCATATTGAGACATGGATCTTGATCGCACTTAATGCATCATGATCATCATCTTATCTCTTCATTAATGAAAGGTCTTATCTTAAAGAAAGAGGCGTAATGATGAAAAGTGGCACCATACAGGCATACATATTGTCAACACCAACACAAGTCAAAAAGTCAAAGGCATGAAATGGGATGTTGTCCAAATGGGAGCCAAACAAGTACTAACTTTGTACTTAATACTATTTATGAATGGGATTGACATATTCTTGATTTAGTATATATACTTAGATCTTAAGTTTAAATAATTGCTTCCTCCATTAAAATTTCCACGAGGCCCCTTCGTCTCCATGACTATGATGCCATTATCAATCACCTTTTAAAGGCATTATGCTATTGGTAGAATGTGAATGGTACCATATGTGCCAAGTAGGCCTATAATTAATTACTAATCTCATGATTTTGGAACTAGATGCTTACATATTATAATATGGGCTAGCTTGTTTGCTTTAAATATTTGCACAATAGAATCATAAGCACTTGTATTGTTGATTATACTTGTATTCAAGAGTTTATATTCGTAAGTTATATGCCCGAGAATACCATTAATGTCGCTTGCTTGTGCTATCAAGTAGTTGGCTTCAACTACCGGTCTCCATCAATAGCTAGCTAGTTCTCCAATGTTGTTTAATGGTTGACTCTCGTTAACTTTTATGCTGTCGTGTATGTTGATATAGCCTGTCTCCAGTTATTAGTTACTTTGTTTGTTATGTCGATTATTCATTATATGTATTTATATTCTTTATATTCTTTAGTATTGATACATTGTAACTTAATGATATCAATTACATTTGTTCAAATTTCAAAAAAAAAAAAAAAAAAAAGACGAATCAAAAGAAATCCAAGGAGCGTTTTGCTCATTTTACTAGTATAAGGACTATGTAGGCCTCGATATGCTTCACGTAAATGATTCTCCTAAGGCCTCAATATGCTTCACGTAAAACTGTGATGCCGCAATCTTAACAAACTTGGCGTTTTCTTTTTATAAATGATATATGATTGATGGTTATAGATCGAGCCAAAGCCACGATAACTTTAGTTAACTGCATATCAAGTTTAGTGGCTCAATAGACAAAAAGGAAAGTTGAGTGACTAAAGTCATGAATTTAATGAAAGTAAATTGGTCAAAGTGGTCCTTTCTCCACTACCTCTTATCCCATAATTAAGTCATGTAAAAAGAACAAAAACAATTAGCTTTAAAAACGATATTTCATTCACAACATGCCAGGTTCATCTTGTCATTTTATATAGTATATATACTCGGAACTCGGAATAAGTCTTCACAAGCCGTATTGATTCATAAGGCAAGATCTTAAAGTATGAATAACCAACGGTATTGATTGATAAGGCAAGGTCTTAAAGTATGAATAACCATTTTTGTCATTATACCCAAGGAAATAGGGTTAATATATAATATATCAATACTTGGGTCTTATACATCTAATTTGGCATGCAAAAACAACATATATATATATATATATATATATATATATATATATATATATATATATATATATATATATATATATAATATATATATATATATATAATTTGGGGGGGGGGGGGGGGTGGAGATAAAGGCTTAGGGCCACTTGATTATGATATTTTTCAAATATCATAAAGATTCGAAGGTGATGACACTAATGACGTGACTATGAAATTGGTTCTTAGCTTCGATCATCTTTATTGTCTTGGCTTTGTCAATCAATCTTTACATTTGGGTTTGATCTTTGGTCATTTTGTATGTCAAACACCAAACAATAATATAAAACCTCATACTATGTATAAAAATGTGATAAACAACACCATCTGAACCGCCTACTCCGAACACGTCCCAACGCCCATCACGTGGGTCGTCAACTGAGTACTAACAATATTTTGTACGTGTCATGGTTTGAACCCGATATCTCCTTTGTGAAATTTCACACCTCAACCACTAGACTCTCATTGCAGGAGAATCTCAGACATGAAGACTATAGTGGTGAGAGGCTATCTAAGTTCCAGGCATCAGGGTTTGTATCATACAAGTTTCAGACACCATATTTTTTATCCCATAATATTTAGCCTCGACCCTTGATCGGGATAAGGTTTGTATCCTGTAAGTGTAAGTTTCAGATACCATATTTGTTATCTCATAATATTTGGCCTCGACCCTTGATCGGGATAATGTGATTGGTGTTTGGAAGACCATGCGATAAGGTTCTTACAAAAAATGATGAATACTTGGAAAGCGATCTTCAAGTATCATGACCCTACCCCAACCAGCTTCTGTATATGCTATAAGTGAAAGATCATTTGAAAGAGATAGATGTAACCTAAGAGTCAAAGTACCTTTAATGTACCATATAACCCGTTAAATAGCTTGTATGTGTTATTCCCTGAGTGTCCTACTAAAATGTTGTTTTTTTGAAGAATATTTACCTAGTAATGGTACTTTTTTTTTAAAAAAAATATTTACTTAATAGCTTTTATTATAGTTTAAAGAAATCGAATGGCTTCTAGCCCAACGGTATCAAGTGGTGCCCTCCCTATTTGAGGTCGAGGGTTCATGTTCCGTCGTAGACATAAGTGGAATTAGGTGTTAGTTTAGGAGTACATTATATATTTATATTTGACTGTTCAAAAAAAATTGTTTAAAGAAACAAAGAAAATTAATGCTCTAAAACTACCAAGGGGTCTTCGTTTTCACTCGGATGAACTTCTCACTTGTGACTGTTTACATCCATGTTCATTAGGTTTTCTATCCATCATTCTTTTCGTTGTCACGAATGCCATTGAAATCCCCTGGATGCATAATTTTTCATTTGCATTTAACTACAAACATAGAAAATTTTCTATTTGGGAAAATAATCAAAGTTGTTTCATCTCGACATTGATCTCAAGCAACAAAATTGACGGTGAACTGTAACATCGTGGCGTACCTGATGCGGCGCCATCTTTCCGTCTCATGATCTTCTCCTTAGTTTTGTCTTACATGTTGCCTCGTCATTGATCACAGCTGCCTCGCCGTTCATAACACATTGGAAAAACAATCAAGATTTACATCTTAAAATTAATTATTACTTACCATCTGTGTTAAAATTGTTGCTTAGGGTTGAAAACTTTGACATCGATATGGAAAAACAATATTGACGGTGAAGGGTAACGTATTCTGCAAAAATTATTTCTTAATCTCTGGTAATATTCTGGAACTCAACATTACATTTTGTAGGTTGTTATGCTATAAAGCTAAAACTACAATGGGATGGTCCTCAGATTGATTAATGATGGTTAAGGGTAACGTATTCTGCAAACTGTTTCGACCTTCTCATCTTCGATAATTTTTTTATGGTATGAAACATATTTGTTTATTTTCACCTCAGGCGATCTTATGTCATCTTCCCTCACACCTCCTTCTCCCAACTATGACGATTTACAGATGATTAACGATGACAAATAGTGTGGCAACATGAGAAAACAACGAAAATAGGCATAACAAGACAAAAAACAACGAATACCTAGACAACGATGACAACTAAGAACAACATTAGAGGATATAATGAATAAAGTAAGTATTTCAATATAAGACATTAGATGTGGTATTGGTAAGTTTATCATTTTTCTAAAATTATTAATTTTACATAAATACAAACGGAATGATTAATAAGTAGTTAATTGAATCTATACTAATAAAACAAATTATTAAGTTATTGTAAATAATGTTTATGAATTACAACTTTCCAAAAACTTCTTTGAATACAACATTAGATGTCGTATTGTTGAGTTTACCATCTTTGTCTAAAATTAGTATTTTTAATTCATCTTTGCTTTTTACTCTCGACAATGCAAGATACAACAGTCCATGAGTGAACACTGGTTGTCTCAAAAACAACCTCATCTTCGATAACGATTGTATTTGACTCTTGTTTATTGTCATCACA